TGCGTGGAATAGACAAGGCAGACAGAGACAGGATGTTCCAGAGATGGGACACAAAAACAAGGGGTCACAACTGGAAGTTGAAGACTCAGATGAGCCAAAGGGATGCTAGGAAATACATATTTCTTCAGCCAAAGAGTTGTTAGGAAGTGGAATAGTCTGGCAAGTGATGTAGTGGAGGCAGGAACCATACATAGTTTTTTTAAGACAAGGTATGATAAAGCTCATGGAGCACGGAGAGAGAGGACCCAGTAGTGGTTAGTGAAAAGGCAGGGCCAGGAGCTGAGTCTCAACCCCTGCAACCACAATTTGGTGAGTACACACACACACACACACACACACACACACACACACTGCAAGATGGAATGATCATTAAAGTAAGAAACAAGTAACAGTCAATGAAAAGAAGAAATAACAAAGCTAAGGGAAGGTAGCAAGAAAACACCAGACACTCAGACCGGGCTGCAGGGACGTTGACCCCCAAAACCCTCTCCAGGTACACTCCAGGTATACTCCAGGTATACACATCACCAACAGTAAGCTTCAATCAACACCTGAAACTTGGTAAACACTACCTTCACAACATCTGATATCTGGATAACTATCCAGGATATCAATGAAGATTAGTTAGATAGTTCAATATAAGCTAGGATAATTAAGCCAGGATATCAATGAAGATTAGTTAGATAGTTCAACATTAGAAAGCCAGGATAACTATGCCAGGATATCAATGCTAACTTTTGCTATATTATTCATGGATAGTTAACAGCATCATGATTCCTTGAATTTAGCAGTGTTAATGCTAACAAATCCAAGATGTTAAGAAAATCAGATGTTAAGAAATCCAAGACATCATCAAATTCAAAATGTTAACAAATTCACATGTTAACAAATCCAGTAAGTTAACAAATGCACAATTCTATTATACAAGGAATAAATCTTCAGTAGTAGTATTATGTATGAGTGAGAGTTATCTTACTCACAGATATAGTATGGATGAACACAAGGAAGATTGGCATAGATACCTAGAAAGGGAGAGAAAGATATGTAGCCAGTACAAGTGGTAGAGTTTGTACAAGACCACATGTAATACTGCATAATAAATAAGCTTCATCATGGAGTCCACACACTTACACCATCCTCACAGATTCTCACTTGTAGCAATTTAATACCTCCCTCACTTATGTTGTTCCAACTCACATTGTTCAAGCTAACACTGATTCAACTAACATTATTCCAGCTAACAATGATCCAGATAACATTGCTCCAGCTTACATTGTTCTAACCTACATTGTTCAACTCGTTCACTGCTGGCTATTCAGAAGCCAGTGACTTAACATTGATTGGGTCCTCCAAGACACTAGATTACTGTTACTTATGCTTGCTGTTGCTTAACACTGTCGTCTCTATACACAGCACTATAAAGTGATTCATACAGACGTTCATCAGAAAGAACAACCAGCAAGAAACCAGCCCTTCACTAACATCAATGTAATCCCCAGCAAGAAACCAGTCCTTCACCAATATCAATGTAATCCCAAGCAAGAAACCAGTCCTTCACCAACATCAATGTAATCCCCAGCAAGAAACCAGTCCTTCACCAACATCAATGTAATCCCCAGCAAGAAACCAGTCCTTCACCAACATCAATGTAATCCCCAGCAAGAAACCAGTCCTTCACCAACATCAATGTAATCCCCAGCAAGAAACCAGTCCTTCAACATCAATGCAGCCTCCAGCAATTGACCGATCCTTCACCAACATCAAAGTAGCTCTTAACAAGCAAGTTTTAAGTGTAGTAAACCTGCAATAAAACACTGTCCCTGTGTTTGATCAATCAGAATAATGTTACAAGATAGCAAATAAAGTACTGAACATTAATTTATTCATTTCCAACCAATTTTTCGTACTGTTCACACATACTAAGCAGTCATGACTGGCCATGGCAAGGGAAGAGGCAGTGCCAAGTGTCATCACAGAGTTCTGTGATAACATCCAGGGCATTACTAAGCCTGCCATTCATTGTATGATTCAACAAGGAGGCGTAAAACATATTTCTGGCCTCATTTATGAGGAGACTCGAGGAGTCCTCAAAGTTTTCTTAGAGAAATGTCATCACTTTATTTCTCCATGGGAAAGTGGAACAGAATTCTTCCTCCATAAGTCATGTGTGTCACAAGAGGTGACTAAAATGCCGGGAGCAAGGGGATAGTTACCCCTTCTCCTGTATACATTACTAAATTTAAGAGAGAAACTTTCGTTTTTTGTTTTAGGTCACCCTGCCTTGTTGGGATATGGCCAGTTTGTTGAAAAAAAAAACTACCTTATTATAAAGAGTCCATTTTAAGATAACAATACCCTCTTATAAAGTGTGAGTTGCAAAATAACATCATTGCTCATTATTATTACAAACATCAGCAACAGTAAACTACAGCTTCCTGAGCAGTGTTGAAGTTTTCAACACCATAAAATTATATTCAATTATTTTCCTACAGATAATTTTAAACAGAACAGAACTGCAAAAAGAAAGTTGAGAAATAGTGGTGCCTCAAGTTTCAAACAGCTCCCAACTCGAACAATTATGTAAGTGTATTTGTTTAAGTGCTTTTGTAAGTGCACTTTTGGTGGTCTGAAATGGATTAATCTAATATACATTATTCCTTATGGGAACAAATTTGTTCGGTATCGGCATTCGAACAGCCTTCTGGAACGAATTAAGTTCGTAACTCGAGGTACCACTGTGTTGAACATTCTCATATTTATGGCGGTCTTAATTTTCAGGATTTTAGTGAACTATTCAAAACTCAAACACAAAATGAGCCCATATCTGAAACATATATACAGTGGACCCCCGGTTAACGATATTTTTTCAATCCAGAAGTATGTTCAGGTGCCAGTACTGACCAAATTTGTTCCCATAAGGAATATTGTGAAGTAGATTAGTCCATTTCAGACCCCCAAACATACACGTACAAACGCACTTACATAAATACACTTACATAATTGGTCGCATTCGGAGGTGATCGTTATGCGGGGGTCCACTGTATAGACAGAAATCTGCAATATCTATGAATTTGCAAGTGAGAGATCTCTAGGAATGAAACTGGGGCAAATATGTGGGTGAGGGTGTAGCTGAAGCATCTGTCAGCACACCACACACACTTGTCACCAGCTGTCAGTACACCACACATCTGTCACCAGCTGTCAGTACACCACACACTTGTCATCAGCTGTCAGCACACCACACACACACTTGTCACCAGCTAAATAACAAAAAAAGGCACAATACCGTGACTGGAACAATACACAAATAACCCGCACATAGAAAAGAGGAGCTTACGACGACGTTTCGGTCCGACTTGGACCATTTACAAAGTCACACTGTGACTGTAAATGGTCCAAGTCGGACCGAAACGTCGTTGTAAGCTCCTCTCTTCTATGTGCGGGTTATTTGTGTATTGTCACCAGCTGTCAGTACACCACACACTTGTTACCAGCTATCAGTACACCACACATCTGTCACCAGCTGTCAGTACACCACACATGTCACCAGCTGTCAGTACACCACACACTTGTCATCAGCTGTCAGTACACCACACACTTGTTACCAGCTATCAGTACACCACACATCTGTCACCAGCTGTCAGTACACCACACATGTCACCAGCTGTCAGTACACCACACACTTGTCATCAGCTGTCAGTACACCACACACTTGTCATCAGCTGTCAGTACACCACACATGTCACCAGGTGTCAGTATCTCAGTAGTAGTACCAGTTCCTAGTAAACATTTACCAGTAACCAGTGTACCAGTAGATGACTCACTACCAACCATCTGTGTGAATCACTGTTATTCATATTGCTGCTGACCATAGCAGGATTTCAAACACCCTCACCCGTAGGCACTGTGGGTCAGTCGAAGATAGAGAGCAGAGAGAGGCAGGTCGGCTGTTGGTGCTTTCCCATACTTTCCGTTATATTATACGTACTACCAGCCTACGTGAGTATTCTTACCCCATCCACGTTATCGAAAACCCACTTGACAAGTACACCACACACTTGTCACCAGCTGTCAGCACACCACACACCTGTCACCAGCTGTCAGTACACCACACACTTGTCACCAGCTGTCAGTACACCACACATCTGTCACCAGCTGTCAGTACACCACACATTTGTCACCAGCTGTCAGTACACCATACATCTGTCACCAGCTGTCAGTACACCACACACTTGTCACCAGCTGTCAGTACACCACACATCTGTCACCAGCTGTCAGTACACCACACATCTGTCACCAGCTGTCAGTACACCACACATTTGTCACCAGCTGTCAGTACACCACACATCTGTCACCAGCTGTCAGTACACCACACATTTGTCACCAGCTGTCAGTACACCATACATCTGTCACCAGCTGTCAGTACACCACACACTTGTCACCAGCTGTCAGTACACCACACATCTGTCACCAGCTGTCAGTACACCACACACTTGTCACCAGCTGTCAGTACACCACACATCTGTCACCAGCTGTCAGTACACCACACATCTGTCACCAGCTGTCAGTACACCACACATCTGTCACCAGGATAGGCAACAAAAACACTTACTGAGAGAGGGAGAAACCTGCAACACTGGCATGGTATCAACACTAAATACATCATACACAAGCAAAGTCAATTATTATCACTATTATTATTACTATTATCATCACAGCAGTAAACTCAGACAGAACTTATGTTAATGTGAAGTGTAAGTGAGGATATTTTATGTATCTTAGATAAAGAATATCACTAGCAGGATACCTTATGTATCTTAGATAAAGAACCATCACTAGCAGAATACCTTATGCATCTTAGATAAAGAACCATCACTAGCAGGATACCTTATGCATCTTAGATAAAGAACCATCACTAGCATGATGGTACCTTGTCTTCCCTTAGAAGGCTGAGCTAAGAGAAACTAACAAAATGGAACGTAGCAAAGAAATCAACTTACGTGGCATGCCCATGGAGTGGGAGGCATACTGTGGTGGCTCCTGCATGTGAGGCGGGGGTGGAGGTGGGGTGTAAGACCCCTGGGGTGCAACATGGGTCATAGGGTGCACTGTTCCCACCTGGGGAGGCGGGGCAGGGCTGCCACTACCATTATGGGTGATGGGAGCAACATGGGCAGCTGACTGGTGGGGAAGAGTGCTGTAGCCGCTAGAACGATCATTGCGACGAGGGTGACCAATGGGGTAGTTTGGAGCGTAGTTACTGGGAACCTGCAACACACAAGCACTGTAGTAACACAAAGACTGGAGCAAGAGGAGAATAGTTACTGGGACCCTACAACACAAACTACACTGACATAACACAAAGACTGTAGGATGAGGAGAAGGAAGAGAATATAAAGAAAGCAATGCAAGAAAATAACACAAAAAGAAAATGAGGAGGATTCATAAAATCGTAGTGACACGATTGCAAACAAACCATACCATGGGTGGGGCTTGAACCCACAGTCAGAGTGTCGTAAAACTCCAGATCAAGCACTGCAGCAAGCCTACTGGCCCATGCTAAGCAGGTCAAAGTTACCTATTGGTGATTTTGACCTGCCTGGACCAGTCCGGAGTTTTACGACTCTCTGACCTCAGGTACAAGCCCCACCTATGGTATGGTTTGTTTGAGGAGGAGGAAAAAGGAGCATAAGGAGGAGGCAAAACTGGAGTTGGAGGAGGACAAGGAAGAAAAAAAAGATGGAAGAGGGAGAGAAGAACTAAAAGAAAGATGGAAGAGGGAAAGAAGAATGAAAAGAAGGATGGCAGAGGGACAGAAGAACTAAAAGAAACAAGGAAGAGAAAGAGAAGAGAGAGAGAGAGAAAGAACTACTACTTCAATAAATATTATCAGGTACCAGTGTGTTTCACCCCACACAACTGCTGCACCTCACACAACTGCTGTACCTCACACAACTGCTGCACCTCACACAACTGCTGCACCTCACACAACTGCTGTACCTCACACAACTGCTGTACCTCACACAACTGCTGTACCTCACACAACTGCTGTACATCACACAACTGCTGTACATCACACAACTGCTGCACCTCACATGTAAGAACTCTTGGGAGATTCATCACTATATTTGTGAAGCAGTGCTAACCCGAGTGGTCATATAACACCTACACAACAGGAAATAATCAGGTTTCATACGAGGAAAGGGTGAGGTAGCTCCTATTCTTTGGATGAAGAGTCAGTCAGTATCACAACACTTGCCTTTACCCTTGAAGAGAGGACTGTTAAGTGAAGTAAAGATATTTACTGAAAGAGTAATGTAACTTAGTTCAAGTGCAGTGTTAAATGTCACTTTCTGAATGATAATTTCAAAGTGGTAAAGTGTATTACCAAAAATGCTCTTAAATAACACAGGAAGGCCCTGCTATACAGTGCTTCACTTTTCAACATTTCACTAATGCAGTGGTTTTCAATTACACCCTTTTCATTTATTCAGACTTCCTACAATAAATATATTCACCACTCATTATAAGCAACATTTTAAAGTACACCTACCATCCGACTTACGACCTGCTCGACTTACGATCACTCGACTTACGACCGTGTTTTTTATGCCAAATTTCTGGGAAATAAACAACTATTTGTGTTGTACACAGTGTTTATCCTAAACCTTACAGTATAAAATACAGTACTAACAGCATAAAAAGTAAAGTAAAACATGAAATACCAAAATAAAACAATAAAATAAAGTCATTACAAAAATGTGATGTTGATATTCAGTAGTAAAGTTCGACTTACGACCATTTCAACTTACAACCAGTTTCTCGGAACCGAACTCGGTCGTAAGTCGGATGGTAGGTGTAATTAATGTGTGAATTGTACATGCATTTTTTAAGCCTGGCTCTGTTGCTCACTTAATATATGATAGTGTAGACATGTTATCAGGTTTTTATGCATTTGAAAGTAAAAAAATGCTATGTTTTACTTTACAGCAGCAGCCCAGAACCTAACCTGCTGCATAAGTGGGGCCTGTCTGTACTTAAGTAACCTCTACGATCAGTAAATTCACAACTATCTGCTGCTGCACCACACTACTTGTTGTTTCTTATACAGTATAATAATAATATACAGCCTCTCCTCACTTAGCGACGTACTCATTTACCAATGCCCATATCTGAAACTATTCAAAACTCAAACACAAAACTATTCAAAACTCAAACACAAAATAAGCCCATATCTGAAACACATATATAGACAGAAATCTGTAATATCTATGAATTTGCAAGTGAGAGGTCTCTAGGAATGTAACTGTGGTAAGTACGTGGGTGAGGGAGGAGGTGAAGAATCTGTCAGTACACCACACACCTGTTGTCAGCTGTCATCACCCATCGTAAGTCCGGGGACTTACGACGGGCTCTCTGACCAGGATTCATACCTAAATAGTGTATATTAGAGCTGATTTCCTCTATTCTGTTTCAGTATACAGTACACTACTGCATAAACATTTAAAAACATACCAGAAATGTTATAAATGGTGCAAAGGTGACATTAAAACAATATCAAAGATGGATGACACAAACTCACTACCATTATAGAATGCTCCTCACTTAGCAACAAATTTGTATAACGATGTGGTCTCAGGAATGGAACTCCGTCGTTAAGTGAGGAGAGGCTGTAATAATAATAATCTTTGTATCTACAAGTACATGATACAACCTATACAGACCTAGCTAAAATCAATGACATATTATATAGAAAACCCATGGTTATGCAGACCATTTCTAGCAACTTACGTTAATTTTGTCCCCAGAATGCAACCCACACCAGTCGACTAACACCCAGGTACCTACTTACTGCTAAGCGAACAAGGACAACAGGTGTAAGGTAACTAACACCCAGGTACCCATCTACTGCTAGCTGAGCATGGACAGCCACGGTCTTAAGGAAACATGATCATTGTTTCCACCCATACCAGGAACCGAACCACAGACCTCAATTTATGACCTGAGTGCATCACCAACTGTTCTTGGTATAAGAAACCTGGGTGTAAGTGTAGAACATCAGTCATACACTTACATAATTCATTATCAAGCCACCACCATTCCTGGTACCGAATGATCCACATGGATGGAGGAGCAAGCCTTCATTATTCCTAGCACTGAATGATCCACATGGATAGAGGATCAAGCCTCCACCATTCCTAGCACTGAATGATCCACACAGATGGAGGATCAAGTCTCCATCATTTCTAGCACTGATTGATCCACACAGATGGAGGATCAAGCCTCCATCATTTCTAGCACTGAATGATCCACATGGAAAGAGGATCAAGCCTTCACCATTCCTAGCACTGAATGATCCACATGGAAAGAGGATCAAGCCTCCACCATTCCTAGCACTGAATGATCCACACAGATGGAGGATCAAGCCTCCATCATTTCTAGCACTGAATGATCCACATGGAAAGAGGATCAAGCCTTCACCATTCCTAGCACTGAATGATCCACACAGATGGAGGATCAAGCCTCCATCATTTCTAGCACTGAATGATCCACATGGAAAGAGGATCAAGCCTCCACCATTCCTAGCACTGAATGATCCACACAGATGGAGGATCAAGCCTTCACCATTCCTAGCACTGAATGATCCACACAGATGGAGGATCAAGCCTCCATCATTCCTTGCACTGAATGTTCACATGGATCATTTAGCACTTCACAAAAACAATTGGAAACATTACAGACCAATTTTAATTATAAACTAAGAGGAAGAAGACTACAGAAATTAGGATGTTCAGCATGTTACCTTACACTTGTGTCCCTGCTTAACCCGTAAACAGTCCAAACGTATATATACATTTTTTCAATATTTGGAAGTATGTAAAAAAAGTAGATCTTCTTTTTTTTTACATTTGAAAATGTGTAAAAAAACTTTGATCCACTTTTTTTTTGTTATATTTGAAAATATGTAAAAAAAAACGTAGATCTACTTTTGGAGCACTACACATGTGAATGTAGATCTGCTTGGACCATTTACAGGTTAAACACCTGGCAGTCAGCAGGTGCTGCACATATGTATTACCCAATTGTTGTGGGTGCCAGTATACCTGAAAATGGTCTCAACTTTGACACGATCTGAAGTGAAATAACAGCTTTTTGATGGTAAATTAAAACACAGATAGATGAATGATATGCCAAAATACATCATAACAAAAATGTTTTCAGATATAATTAGCAAGTAAACTTAAAACATCATAAGTGGATCACAGATTTTTTTAAGTAATATATAGGGTATTCTCTAAGTATGCTATTTAGATCAGGTTAAATTAGGTGAGCCTAGACAAGGTTTGGTTAGTTAGATTACTGTAAAGTTCTGTTTATTCTTTGGGACATAGGAACATGCCATTGATCAGTTTAGAGGGTTCCTCCACTCTTGTTTGATGACTACTTTATCAACCAAGCTATTGCTGCTAGCAGCTCACAAGCCTTCACATAGGTTGATCTGGCACTTGGACCAGGACGTAATTTAGCTTCCTCTTGAAAAATTCTGCCTTTGTTTTGGCAATATTTCCGAGATCTGCTGGTCAGAGATTGTCGAGTCTTGGCCCATAAATGTTAACAGTGTTGTCTGTGTGTGGAACTGTAAGAGGAGCCACCTCCTCACTGGTGTCTTTTATCTCTCTCACAAACATCCAAGGTTTCAGGTACATCTTGCTACTTCTACTTACACTTAGGTCACATTATACATGCACTTACAAGCATATACAGCCTCTCCTCACTTACCGACGTACTCGCTTACCGACAACTCGGAGTTACAACAGGTTCTCTGATGAGTCAGTATTATATGCCATACGAGAACTTGGGTCGTGGAAACGAGCAGCACAGCATCAAGCATCTCAATCTCCTTCTCACAGCCACTCAGTACACTAGCTTTTAAAGCCTCCAAGACTACTTTTTTTTTATTACACACCGGCTGTCTCCCACCAAGGCAGGATGGCCCGAAAAAGAAAAACTTTCATCATCATTCACTCCATTACTGTCTTACCAGAGGCGTGCTTACACTACAGTTATAAAACTGTAACATTAACACCCCTCCTTCAGAGTGCAGACACTGTACTTCCCATCTGCAGGACTCAAGTCCAGCCTGCCAGTTTCCCTGACTCCCTTCATAAATGTTACCCTGCTCACACTCCAACAACACGTCAAGTTCTAAAAACAATTTGTCTCCATTCACTCCTATCAAATATGCTTGCGCATGCTTGCTGGAAGTCCAAGCCCCTTGCACACAAAACCTCCTTTACCCCCTCCCTCCAACTTCTCCTAGGCCGACCCCTACCCCGC